TCAACAAGTATGTTCCTACTGAACAGTTGTATAGGATTTAAAAATCTTTTAGGAATACAAGAATAGATGTCATATAGCTTCACATTAATTGCTAAAACATGTCAACTATCCAAAGGCTTCTTGATACCTTAAATATCTCTGGACAAGTGGTTTAGAATGCTACTGAGCACAGCAGCATAGGAAGCCCTTTCTATCAATTGTCACATATTCAAGTCCTACTGAACAGTTGTATAGGATTTAAAAATCTTTTAGGAATACAAGAATAGATGTCATATAGCTTCACATTAATTGCTAAAACATGTCAACTATCCAAAGGCTTCTTGATACCTTAAATATCTCTGGACAAGTGGTTTAGAATGCTACTGAGCACAGCAGCATAGGAAGCCCTTTCTATCAATTGTCACATATTCAAGAAAACCACAAAACAAAGTTTCCTCCTCATTTAGAAAAAAATGGGTAAAGAAAAGGATGGCTGTAGCTCATGTGACAGAAGGAACTCAGTCCTTCCAAAAATAAACATCCTCTTCCCCTAAAACCGGGTAATCAGGTTCCCCAAATACACCTGGATAATCAAATCTGTAAGGTATGTCTAAAACACAGGAAGGGAAGAAAGAAATTAATTCCAGTGCTTTATGCAAATACAGAAGTGTCTTAACCTGCTTTTCTTAGGCCAGAGACTAATGCTAGTATAATACCTTTGCTGCTTTTTGCCTGATTTTGATCTGACAGACAAAAAAACCCCAACCAATTAAAATACTCAAATATCCTAGAACTAGGAAGCTATATGGAAGAGAAATCCCCAGTACGTGCTCAACCCAGGTAAGGTCCAACATGTAGCCATGTATTAGTAAATGTCAGAGAAGCCAAGCAGTTACGAACACCAGTAGTAAAGCAGAGAAACAGGGAAACATGGCCAGTTATTAAATCCATTTTCTACAAGAACAGACTTTACTACTTCCATGGCTGATGGAAGTAGTATGCTTATTTTGACTAGCAACATACTACAGCAGAGCTTTAGGCCACCGTAATTAATCATGTAAGTGTTGTTAAATGTACTTACAGGTCTTTCATTTGGATCAATGAAAAATATCTTAATGATTATTTCAAATTCACCCCAGCCAGTTTCGGTGATTTCATACGGTGGTTTGGTAACAACTGCAGTAGGAAAGACAGAAGTGTTAATCAGGTGATAAGAGTCTCAGTGGAACAAAAAAAGGGAACACAAAACTGGAACAAAAGCCCAGTTCTGGGAACGACTGCCCAAATGCAAAACCCACCTCTTAAAGGATTACCATAGCTTTCATGCAACTTGAATTGAATCTTTTTCACATAGGCAGACATGTCCTAAAACAGACACAGTTATTTCTCATTATTCATACGGCACACCAGGCTACTGGTTATTCATCTATCCTACATACCTATCACTCCTTCTGACATAAGCACAGCATTTCCTCTGACTTTAAACACAGCAGGAAAGCAAAACGGTGAATCCAAAAATCAGCACAGCACACAAGCCTGTCAGTATTTTGTACCGCGAATGCTCTCCTGTCTGCTCCTAACCTAGACGGATCGCTCCGAAAGGATAAAAGGAAGAGTGTCTGCCTCCTCTTTCTTTCCCTTTTGGAAACCCACGGGCCTGTGTGTTCCCTTAGCCGCGCCGACCCCGGGCGCGACTGGAAGGAGCTCCCGGACCCAACACCCAGCCCCGCGCGGCCGAGGCCACCGCAG